TGCTCGTTGTCGTGGATTGCTTCAGCAAGTGGGTAGAGGCATTTCCTCTGAGGAACTTCAGRGCGAAGACGGTTGCAGAGACATTCGTAGAGGAGATCGTCTCACGTTATGGAGTTCCGTTAGAGCTTCATACGGACCAAGGCACGAACTTTRAGTCTCGGCTGATGAAAGAGGTTGCGGAACGACTTGGGATCCGCAAGACGAGAACTACAGCGCTACATCCACAATCGGATGGACAGGTGGAGCGGCAGCACAGGACGATTTTGAGCCGTCCCTGGAAAAAGGACGTGAAGGCCGTTTCCAGGCGACGGGTTGTTGATCGGGGAGATCTTGACAGGAGCTCGAAAGGAACGGACGTGATATTACGGAAAATTGTAGAAAAACCCTAAACAGTTATTAGAGTTCCGTAAATAAAATTCCTTGTTAATCTTTTGTAATCTGAGTTTGAGCGGGAGTGTTACTTCTCCGGGAAGCATTAATATATATATATAATACAAATTTTATTACATTTAATTTTCAACATTACTGTTTACGGCTTTGAATTTCACTAGACGAGTTAACATCGAAGTAATGTATGGAACTTCTTTTTTTTGAATGCTTTTAATATTATCATTAGTATTAATTTCATATTTTTGTTGAACACAACGACAGACCGAAGTAAGTAGAGTTAACAAATCATATTGTGTTCCAAATTGGTTTAATATCTCGCACAATGCTTCTATAAACCATGATCCACTTTCCGATCTTGACCACGAATAATGACCTATTTAGAAATTATTTTAAATAAATAAATAAATAAATAAAAATATTATAAAATAAAGGAAAGTGAAGCATTGTAATTATTTGGAATATTTAAAACATATGATTAGAATTATAGCTTATACCTGAAATTGTTGAATAAGCGATCAAAAAGTCAGCATGATTTGGTAAACGGAATACTTCTTTAGATGACTCAGAGGTGCTATCGGGTACTGTGAATATTTGTCTTCTTCGCAGGTGTTGTGTAGTTGACTTGGATACCTTCCTTTCTTGACAGGCTTGTATAAAAAATAATTTTGGCTTACCGGTAAGAGTAAGGGCTTTTTCTTCAACATTTTTGTCTGATATAAAATGTAACCAAATGGAATTGGCTTTGTATTTTTTATCATGAGCATAAAGTATTCCTAAATCTCCATAGCTCAATATGCAAACTATTAAGCAACTATGATCAGTGTGATCTTGCTTAGCAACTATAGTAAAAATATATACATTTTTATCGATTAAAAATTATTATATGTCCTTATATTATGTTAAATTTCATCTTTGTTTTAATTTTCTCTTATTACCTTCTTGTATAGTTTCTTCTATTTTGTTGTAGGTAAAATCTTTATATTCTTGAACTTCAAATCCCAATGATTGTAATGTCCTCTTTATATTTGTACTGTCTCTATCAGTTCCGGTTCGTCGTTCAAGATCTCCGAAGCAGAAAGTTTCATGATTAAATATAATTGCTAGGCCATGTTTTTCCATATTGTAATGCACAGCATATTGTTTTGTGGGTGATTTTACCGAAGGTGAAGTAGTAGATTTAATTTCGTTGGCTTCAGTTGAGCTGCAAAGATGATATATAATATTCTCTTACATTTTTAATAAATTCATTTCATTTTAATATAAAATAGTACGATTTAAGAGTTTTCCTTTTTAACGTTTTAAATTGAACAATGCGTAACATAAAATTAATACTTTTTTAAAAGATACATATTAATATTGGGTCGTCAAGTATGAAATTTGTAAAAAAACAAAACTGATAATACGATGCACTACAAATTTCATACTCGTCCACCGAATACTTTAGACCAAGGGTTCTCCAATTTTTTTAATTGGCGACTCCCTTTATCCAAACAAATATTTTTACAATTTTCTCTTTCATTGTTATAAATTTATTGACATATCATATACGTGTAATATTGTTAAATATTGGTTTTAAATTAATTGTCGATAGTAGCGCGTTCGGGAATTTTCTGATTTCTGTTTAAGTTTTTCCAATCCTATATATAGGATTGCGAAAGTCACCCATTGAAAAGTCCTGACTTTAAATAAAAAATATAAAAATAATCAACGGTACCTTGAATCTTTAGACGAATCGGGAACATCTCTCGATAATTCTTTTTCATCAACATTTTCTTTGGAAGACATTTTTTTAATCAATCTAATTGTTAATAACTAGGTGAACTATTAGCAATAACGATGTACAACTGACTATTACTGATTCAAAGGCGCGCGTCTTTTAACGTTTACCTGACGATCAATAAGACGATTCGAGCTACAGGTTTATTTATCTATTAATACTAATAATGACAACAATAATGATAATAAAGTTTATGATTCATTGTTAACGTCAAAGACTTTGAGTTACAGTTTTCATTTATCCTAGTTTCTTTCTCTTTTTTCATCTGGCACGATATAAAATCAGAAATATAACTTAAAAATTCTAAGTGTAATTATTTGATTATAATCTTTTCTAACGAACGAACGAATGATAAGATTAGTTTCATTCTAAGATTGTATCATTCCTTATCCCTTTTCATTTAATTTCAATTATCACTTGAAGAAAGCTATATCATATCTTGATAAACTTTCCTTTACTTTTGTGCGCATGCGTGATATTACTACAGACTTGATTAGTGTCTATAAAAAAAACTTTAAAAATTTAAAAAAAAAGATAAAAACTTATTAATCACAAGACAATTATTAATTTTATTTCGTTGCTATATTACACATCAAATTTTATTTATTACATCAATTTTTGTAGAAAAAATAATTAATTAATTATTACATTAGCAATATATATTATTATAATGTATTAACATATTATATTGTATAATAAGCGCGCTCATGTACGTGTGTACATTCTTTATATATATGTAATCTTTTAAATATTTAATTCTTTAAAAATTTATAATACAAATAATGTCATATTATAAGTAAAATTACTTAGAAACTAATATCTCTGTATTATTAACAAGTAAAGTAAATAGTTTTTTTATCGATATATGTAATAATATAATTAGATGGTTTCGATAATTTATCGGTATATACACTTTAGTCAAATGGATAATGAAATAATTAACAGCGAATAATATTTTACATAAGTTAATAACAATACTTATATGATATAAACTAGAAAAAATATAAATGATATATATATATATATATATATTGAATATATTGAATTAAACAAATATACAACAAAAATTCGGCCTTTCACTATATCGACACCCTCGAATAGAGTATTTTTTTCCTCTAATATTTTTTTCTATCGCACGAAATAAACGAGATATTTTAGATGGTCGAGTTAGACGAAAGACCCTGTATATAATATATAATAATATATAATATAGTCGTGTTATATTTCATTTCTTTTGTATCAGTTTGAGGAACTTTAAAAATACTTTTCCATACCTTTGACAATTCTTTCTGGAGTGAATAGCACATAGTGTCCCAAAGAAGTCACCTATTCAGATACTAATCGTATCCATCGTTCTTTAACTTTAACGATTCAATAAGAAATAGTTTCTTCTATAAGGCGAGGCCATTGATCGAATATATTCAATATATATATACACTTACATATTAAAAATATCGTTGAATATAACAAGAGAGCATATTTAATATTCATGTAGGTCCATGAACTGATGTCAAAAATTCATCTATATCCATATTATTTAGTAGCACTCGTGGATCATATAAACGTTTCTTCTCAATCTATAATCAAACAATTACTTTTTGTAGATAATTTCGAAATAAGTAGATATACAAAATAATTAATAGCTGTTGCTAACCTTTGAGTCTTCGCTAGATTCGGATATTTTCCTTTTATGATTTTTTGTGATTAAATTGTCTGAAATCATATTTTATTACTTAATTCATAAAAACCAAAAATAAAATAAAATAAATTCATACTACAATCGTATTAAATTTTATTTATAAACAATGTAAAAATATTTTATTACCTTTATTCATTTTATCTTTTTCAGATTGTACTTTTACTTTTATTAATAAATTATCTTTGTCATTTACCGATTTTATTTTATCTGTTGTTTTCTTGAATTTCGATACTAAAGGCTTATCTACAGGTGAAGACGTGGCTAATGGTTTCGTGGAATCATTCTTTAAGATAAAATTACCGTTTTTAAAATGAATGTTACTCGGTTCAATATTTTTAACAGGGAGTTTTTTGTTGATAGATTTTTTCCTAGATATTGGATTCATATTGTATATTTCTTGATAATCAGTAGCTGTCAAAGTTTGTGTGACTATTTCTTTGTAATTATCATTGCTCAGTTGAACTTTTACATGTTGCTTTAATTCGCTGCTACCATATCTTCTTCTTCTTTTTTTAGTTGATATACTGTCGTCATAAATAAAGTGATATACTACAGAACCAGGTCCAGTTATATTTAAATTAATTTCTTCCTCGAATTGATTGTTGTCACTTTTTTCTTTACTATTATCGGTTTTGCTTGCTGGTACTAATTGTAAACATTCAAGAACACAAGGTAATTCCTCCTTTGGATCTTGCGATTGAATAGTTTTTACAGTTTTCTTCTCTTCGTTATCATTCGAAATCTGTTTATCTTTCTTTTGAACTTCTGAATCTTTTGAGAAATTTCTACCTTCCGATATTTTACATTTTTGTTCATTTTCTTCGTCGCTAAACAAATCTCGTTTTACTTGATTTATTTTAGTCTTTAATATATCTTTTACCTTTTCATCATGCTTTTTTAAAATTATTTCATTATCTTTCCTATTAAACTTATTTTTTACATCAGTATCTTGTACAGTTTTTCTATCTTTGTTACTATTAGATAGATATTCTTTCGACGATTCTTGTTCACTTATTTTTTTATCATTAATCCGATCGCTTTCAACAACATCATTTTGAGATGTATTACAAGCAGCACTATATTCTCCTAAATTACTTTTTGACTCATCTATTTTTCCTTGCGTTGAGATTAACGTATTAACCGAAGAATTTGCTTCCATTAAAACATTTTTTGTATTATTTTGAATATCATTATTATATTTATTTAATGTAGAATACGATTTTTTGTTATTTTCTTCTTTTTTTATATCTTGAATATTAGTAACATTACTACTTCCGGAAACTTGATTATCAGTATTTTCTCTATTATTGGTATTCTTATCCAAATTCTTTTCACATTGTTTTCTATTCGTATTTATTCTACTTTTTGTCTTTAATTGATTATTTTTATTTACACAATGAAGTTTTTTCTTTACTGAGAATATATTCTTTTTAGATCTATTTTTCGCGAAAATTGTATTAGATTTAGGAATTTGCTTAAGCTTTATTATCATACGTTGACGTTTTTGTTCCAATTGTCTTGCGCGTTCATCTGTACGTAATATATATTGTTTAGTGATTTCATAATTGGAAAATTCTGCTAATGGCTCAAATTTTGACTTGTCAAACGATATATTTTGTATATCGATTATTTGTGTTTGTTGTCTGATTTTATTCGTATTCGAGGCTTCTGATTTCGAAGAATTTGCTTTTACTAATTTTTCATTTTCTGAGGTAATAAATGCAATTTTTGATGATAAATTTGTTACATTGCTTATGCCAATTTTGGTACTGCTAGGCGTGACAGATATATCTTCTTCCGCTAACAAATTTTCATCCTTAGCAGGAGTTTCTTTTAAAATAGATTCATATTTCTCTTCGCTTTTATTTATCGACATTAGCTTAGCTGGAGAAGATTCGGATTTGATTCTAATATTATTCATGGTTGCTTTATCAATTTCAATAAAATTAGTTGACATATTTGATACACTTAATATCACTTTATCTTTGGTCAAATCATTCTTCAAGTTTATAGGTATATTTTGCATAGAATTGTTAGTAGATGGATTTATTTTTGATATAGAATCGTTACTCGTATCTGTGTATATTACGTTAGGAGATTTCTTATACTTTTTGTTACACGACGGTGGTTTAGAAGTATCATAAGTAGTATTAGTATTAGTATTAGTAGAAGAAGAAGAGGAAGAAGAAGAAGATGAAGATGAAGATGAAGAAGAAGAAGACGAAGAAGAATCACTATTATCAATTAAATTTTCATGAATATTAGAAGATTTTTTATCGTTCAGTGTAACATCATTAATATTTCCATCATTGTGCACAGAAGTTGGATTTAAAATAGCAGTTGTAGTATCTTTAGTGTTAGAAGATATTTTAAATTCTTTGACAGCTTCATTCTTTGGCAAATTTTCTTTGATTACTTCAAATTGTGTTATTTCAAGTTTGGTTGAAATAGACGTATTACTATAACCACTATCTGTATTTATTGTGCATTGAGCAGAGCACAACTTGGGATTAGAAACTGGTGTAGCTAAATGTTTCGTCGTTCCACTGCTATCCAATTTCATATCAACTTTAATCATTTTTCCAGAATCACAGGAATTTACATGTTCTGTACTTGGTTTGTAATAAGATGATATACACCCGTTGTATATTCCTTTTTTCATAACATCGTGAGTATTTTCTTCGCAATGTTTTGGAGTCAATGTGATACAAGGAGTGGGTGGAAACTCTGGTGTCTTTATTAAGCTACGAATCTTAGTCGAATCATCGTGAATTTTAGGAAATGATGAAATAAGATTGCTATTAGGACTAATTAAACGAGGCGTAGATGGTATTCCAGAAGAATTTTCACATTTTCTTGGGGTTTCCAAATCTATTATATCAGTTATTGGTAAAATTTTTCTAGCGCATTCCACTGTAACTTTCAAAGGTTCAGTTACTGGAAGAATTTCTGCGGTAGGCGATATATTATTTGTAATATTTGTTTCTTTTCCCGACATTTTTAAATTTGTTTTTAATGTTTTTAATTGTACATATTTTTTTACTACCTTTTTCTCAGTCGTTTCTTTATTGTTTGTATTTCTTATAGTTCTATTTTCTATTACAGAAGGTACAGGACAAGTGGATTTAGATGTGCATGTATCCGAGCTTATTTTTGACTTTTCTAAAATACAAGTATTACCTACCACACTTGTTGTTTCTTTGTTTGTACTATTCAACAAATTTGAAAAAGCATTATTTTGAGAAAGCGATACATTGTTTGTTTCTAACGTTAGATCTGATTTTTTTTTTTTAGCATCTTTCATGCTTGCCATTGATTCTTCTTTTTCATTGACATATTGTTTTTTTACATCAATAGCAGATTTAGAAATGTTAGAAGTTTTACGTATGATGTTACGTTTAGAAGTTTTACATTCGATATTATTTTTATTTTCAATAGCTTTCTTCTTCTTTTTTTTACTTATTGTCGATTTAGTTAATTTTTCATCATTCATTTGTAAACCCCGGCGTAAATCTGCATCCCAACACTTAGTTACAACTTTACCTTCTTCCGAATTATTTATCGGTGTAGGAGAAGTTGTATCATTGCTTTTAGACGGGGATAGATCATCAATGATTACTCCTACGCCATTATATTTTTCCCAACCTCCCATTAATTTTGGAGCAGGACTTCTAGTTGCTATAGGTATTTCAATAGATTTTATAGCAGTTAATGCATTTTGAAACGTTGGTACTGTTACAGATGAATTAGCTAATGGTGGGGATTTAAAGAGAGAAGTTCTACGAACTGATTTCATGGATCTTAATAATTTTGGAGTACATTTGGTATTATCATTATCTTGAGATTTAGAAGCAGAATGTATTAACTTAGTCGGAGTATTAAAATCAAGTGCTCTTATATGGCTCCTCCTTCGAGGAGTAGATAAACTAAGTCTATGCGATTTTGTTCTATGCTTTAATAAGGACCTTGGTGTCTGTTTAGTAATAATATCATTTTCCGTTTTTTTAGATGTCATTATATTCTGTTCATTACTTTCGTTTGTCGTAGATTGCGTTATCGTTTTAAAATTTTCCATAAGCAATATCTGATCGATATCTGACAAATTGTGACTTTGATTAGACTTGTTAGAATTAAACTTCAAAAAAGGAGATAGTTCTATTCCTGACAAAGTCACGTTTTCTTCTAAGTTAATTATAGGCATTGCTGTATTATTTAAAGATGTTTTTATACTATTTTCTGTACTATAAAGTGTTATCGATTCCATACTCACTAATTTGTTTGTTTCTATTGGATCTAGAAAAATACGATTACATGTATTTTGTTGTATAGATTTATCAATGTTTTGTATAGTATTTTCTTTGCTATTAGCAATGCTTTCTACTGCCGGTAATTGTACCTTACTATTTGAATAGTTAATCGTATTTTCTTGTATTTTTGGCATCGTCGCTGGCAATACATATTTCTGCGGTACATTGACAGCTTTAACATATAATTTCTCTACCGATTCTTTAGTTTTGTTAGAACTTTTAGGCAAGATTGGAATAAAATGCGAAGTTGAATTAGATTCAATAGGATTAACATTTTCAATCGAGTAAGATTGATTTTGAGCTTTACTATTAGGTATTTCTTCTTTCGAACATAATACCAGTGTCGGCATAGTCATAACATCTTGTTCCGAAATTAAATTGTCAGTATTAATTTCAGCTTCCCGTTTTACTTTTGAAGGTCGTGGTCGCTTGACCACCGATCTTTTTGTTTTAGGTTCCGTTTCTTTATTCGCAGTAATATTATCAACTTTTTGATTTTCTATTGGCGCAGAATATTTTTCGGACAAGTCGGTAGTATTACTTGTACTAGGTATAGATATTTGAGATTTTTTTTCTGTCACAGAGGACTCTTTGTTATCATTTGTAATATTAGTCGTTTTATCATTTTCTGGTTTAATGTTTGTTATGTTAGCATTTATGATACTTAAAATAGCAGCAGCATTCTGATCTTCTAGAACATTTTGTTCCTTTTGTTTATAAATCTCATCTTCCATTCTAGCTGTTTGTTGTCTAGAAGAACTGCGGAGTCTTTGTTTTAAAGGTATTTCCGTTGAACTTATTTTGTTGGACGATTTAACTCCAACGACTGTGCGTTCCGGCAAAATAATAACATTATCAATTTCCAATCGTTTTTCTTCTGTTCTGTTAATTGAAATCATATTATATTATAATTCACAATATAAAATATACTTGCATATAGAAGAAGAAAATATTAGAGTATTTACTTATACCTTTTGGTAGGAGTCGATTTAACGTCGATGTCCTCGTCAGGACTTGTATCTGTTTCTATGTTTTTTCCAATAATTTCATCGAGAAATTGTTCAAATACTGGATCAGATTCTGTTGCCTCCACTATTGATTTAATAGCATTATTTAATTCAGTTACAACCGAGGTATTCAATTCACAGCCAATAGATTCATTAAAAATATCTTTAACATCCTTCATGGATACATCAGTTGGAAGAATTGCTTTATTTATATTTTCAGCTATACGTTCTTGTAATTCTGTTCGGTTTAATAATTCCTTTGTCAACAACTGGAGAAAGAGAGATAGAGAAGGAAAATCAAAGAAGAATTATTTTCCAAATATACAAATTTAATACAATATAAAAAAAATATACTTACACTAAGATTTTGAACAGGCTCGTCGTTAATTTCCGATTCATAATCAAATAATTCGCAAGGAGTAGTTTGAACTTCCGTATTAGAAAAAGATAACAATTCTTCCGTATTTGTTCCCGTAGTACATTTTTCACTTAGATCAGTATTTTTTGCGTCGTCAATTTTTCTACATTTATCGTCATTAATCACGTTTGAATTAAAATTTTGAATATCAATATTATCGCCTAAAATATATATTTATATATATACATATACATATATNNNCTCTTTCAACAAGTACGAACGTCGGTAATGTAAAACGACATGTTCCGTGTCATCGTTCTCTTATTGCGATATTATTTCGAATATAATTATTTAAAGAAAAAAAAAAAGAAATAATTACGATTTGAACACGAATTACTCGAAGTTTTTGATTAATGGATGAAACTTGTAACAATCCAAATTTCTTTTTAGCTCATGAATATTTTGTAATTAGGAGGTTGCATGTTCGCAGTAGCATTGCATGAGGTAGCATTTTAAACCTTGCCGTAAGTAATTAAGTGAAACGAAAAAGAAAGAAAGAAAGAAAGAAAAAAAGGGAAAAAGAATGTTTTATATTAGTACGTTCTCTAGTGGTGGGGAAAAAAAAAGAATAATATTAATTTGAAGTAAGAAGAAGAGAATAAAAGAACAAAACGTCGAATTCCAAAAACGAAAAAAAAGCAAAGCGATTAATAAAAACAACCCGTTGATTTTCATTAAGAAGCCTTATAAACAATTTCCTAAAAAAAGCTTTGATCCGTGAAAAGAGACAACGACGACGAGGGGGGAAACCTATTTTGTTTCTCGAAACGTGTGCCTTCTTCTTCCGGAGGATTCTCATACCGCGAAAGGAAGTTTCTAAGCTGGTACACGTACAGGAAGAAGAAAACTCGATCCCCAGGTGACTAAGAGACTCATTTGCGTAGCTTTTAATGCTTATAAATCTCTTAGTACCTTTCTCGTACGTTTCAAAATCATCTTTCCCTTCGTTCGGTAACAACAACAACAACAACAACAACAACAAAAACAAATTTCATTCGTAATCATTGCCATTTAAGGTTTTTCCTTGTTCTTTATCGAAATGTTTGTTAATTTATTTTTATATTAAACGTAACGTACAGTGATAAGTTTGAAATTTCGTTCCCGTACGAACACCCATCCTCGTCGTATGCATCACCATAGAGGTAGAGGTATCATTGATACTGTTGTGTAGTACCCGGAAAAGGGGGCTCCAATTTCTATCGCTTGGAATTTCGTCACGCGTAATTCTATCCGCGTGTACCGGCAATTGCCGTGTAATGCGCATAATATTGTTGGCCAGGAGCAACTTCACTACATACGAGTGTACGTGCGTTCTCTCGGATTATTGGACGCTTGCATTATCACTGAATTTCTCTATCGGATATATACATATATACATATATATATATATATATATATATATACATATATACATTATTTTGAAAGAACATCGTTAACGAATACATAAACATTTATAATGATATATTTACCTGTATCCACTGTTGCAACTTTATCTCTACTATCCGTCGTATGATAGCTTTCCGTAAAACTACTTTTCCTAGAACTACATTGATTTAATTGCCTTGTCGCACTATTAATGTCATTTTGTACATCGTTACATTTTTCCATATGTCCAGGTAAACTTTCAAGAGCTGTTGCTTCACAACCCATCGCTATTGTCATATTATTATAAAAAAAAAAAAATATTTATTGTCAAATATGCAATTAAAATATTGAAATAATTGTGCTAATAGATATATATTCATTTCTTAGATTTACCATTGCTATATCGTTTTTATATTGTTATAAATGAAATATTTATTACTAAATATGCAATTAAAATATCCTGATAATTGTGCTAATAGATATATTCGTAGTATAAAATTACCATAATTGAATGGCAAGTCTGATTCTAGGCCTATTAGACTTGGCGAATTAGAGTATTTATTAGTGTTAACTTTTTGTCGCTCTTTGTCGTTATGATGTTTTTTTTTTCTACTACCTGATATTATTGGAGATCCACCTAATGTTTGCTGGTTCGGCTGGAATTTAATGAAATTTAATTTTTTCATTTTCTCTTTTATATAAACATTTAAGTCTTAGAGTATAATAATTATTAGTTCAATGTATTATTTGTTTCTTTTTAAAGAGATATATTACTGTAGATAAAAAAGATTGTTTTACCTGCGTAGGCACATTGATATTTACAACAAAGCGTTTTCCTGCTTGTGTTTCTTCTACTAAAAATTTTAATTGTTCCAACAGATTGCCGCATTGTTTTACGTGTTCATTATCTGTGATTTTGTTTAAACGTTCCTGTACTAAAAATATAATCATATTAAATGCAAATGAAACTGTTGATAAATTAAATTCTTAGGGTATCTAATTCACACGTATAAATATACATAATTATTTTAACTTACTCATAATGCTCATTGCTGAATATTTTTCGAAAATATCTACTAATGATAATCCATTGATACGAGTATTAAAACGCCTTCCTTTTGATAGTACATTACGACATTCTTGAAGATGCGGAGATGTTTCTAAGAATACTCTTGCAGCTTCATTGCAATCATGATCTTCCAAATATCCTGATTAGACAAGAAATAATAAAAATATAAATCAACTCTAATGTCATATATTTCTTATATTGAATAATTAAAAAAACAAAAAGAAATGAACAATCTTCACGTGAATATATCTACACGTATAAATTATTACCAAATATTACACTTCTATTAGCAACGATACTGTTAATAGTATTAATTATATTTATTTTTAACAAACAAAAAGGTTAACAGTAAGGTTAACAAGAATGTACATTATAATAATGCACAAGTATTATTTACCAAACACTAATCGAGCTATTTCCGAAGGCAACAAAGCTTCCATGATAATAAATATAGAATGTTTATCAATTAAACGAGCACAATTAAATAATTAAAACATATCTTGAAGAAACAACTTTGAATTCACTTGAACAACAAATTGCATCGTTTGCATCGTTTGCATCCACGGCGTCTTTTATATTTTTTTTTTCGAAGAGAGCTAAAACGGTTTTCTTCTTTCTTTTTTTTTCTAGTTTTTTTTTCATAACCATAAACTGCAAATTCAATAAATGAGCGTCTATTAATTTAACAAAATTCACTTTAAAATAATACTTGTTTAACGAAGCTTTTATTTGATTTAAATTGAATCTAAGCATAGAGAGAGAGAGAGAGAGAGAGAGAGAGAGAGAGCTTTACATTTTTATTAATAAACAAATACAAATAAAAACCGATAAATGTTATTTTACGAATCTTACTTAAATAACGTTCGATTAAATACAAATTACGATCGATCAATTGTTTAGATCATTATTTTACATTTTTAGTTGCTAATAATCGATCATCGTTGAAAACAAAAACGATAAATATATAGGTATGTTTGCGAGTATAATAAATAAACATCGCGTAAGTTCTTTATCGATATTATAACCTATCGAAATCGTTGAAGAACCACTGTTTGAAGTGTTCAATCGAATTGAAGTTAGCGACAGAGCTTTTCAATGTCCAAGAAAAATTTCTAACCTCATTTGGAAGTTTTATTTATGTATTCAAAGTTTCTGTTATTATTGTTCTTTGTCAAAATATATAGTTAAAGTAATATAACTCTATAAATTATATAAATTTATTATTTGTAACTAATATTGTGCCACAGTACGTAATTAAAATAATTTTATATAATTTTGTTATATACACATTCATATACATGTATATATCGTTCTGGTACGCAAACAGAATTATACGTTTAATGTTTCAATTGTTATTAATATTAATCGTTTTATGTTTATTGATGGATTGCTTGTTTATATTTGAAAATTGTTTATTTTACAGAATAATAAAATATGGGTAATTGGCAATTAGAAATTTTTAAAATGACATTATATATGGCCTTTCCTGTAACAATGTTTCATTATTTTAATCAACCAGAAAATTATGAGCTATGGGTTAATAAGGTAAGGGAAGAATTTTATCCTAAAGAGAATAGAGAACAACGCAGACTAATAGAAGAAAGTATAAGAAAACATAATCGAAAGATAGAAGAAGAACAATTGAAACTTATGGAACAAACTATTGAAAAGAATAATTTATGAATTTAGAAATACTATGCATTATGTAGATATATATATTTTTCGTTCTTTTTTATTATTATGAACTGTGTATATTATGCGTATATACTTTGTGATGGATGATTGTTTATTAAATATCTCTATTAAAAATGATCATAAATATTGTTTCAAACTTCGATAATAAATCAATGCATCCATTTTAGTTGTCTAATTGTGACATTTGTCTTTAAATAAGGGAGATTTTTATTATCATTCATATAAAAGTTCATTATTTCATCAAACTGTTATGGATTTGTGATATTTCCATTAAATATTAGATGTGTAGTACATGTAACCAATCACGTTCAAGAATCGTCAGCGAAGATATTCGTTCACTAGTAAAATTTGTTCACTAAATAAAATCCCTATGATTATTGATATTTGTATTAGAAAAATAATATTGTTAACTTTAATTATTATATATATTTTTAAATTGTTGTTTTTTTTTTTTTTTTGTATTAAATATATCGGACGCTATTTTGTCTTCTTCAAAAAATAAAATTAATAGATAATATAATTCTATGAAAATTCAACTTAATGTAGGAGAAAAGTTCTAGTAAGTTTAGGAACTCAATTGGAAATTGTCATTCATTATTTCTCTGTAGATTACCTTATTAGTGATAAACTTAATTAATTAGAATGTCATATTCAATACAATGGAACAGTAATAATATAAACAAAATGATTTAACGTTGATATTATCATCTTACTTATTCTCAGTAATAAATGTTAATTAGTCGTCATGTGGAAGTGCCATAAATGCGGTAAACCTGTTTATTTTGGTAAGATCTTTTATTTTATCTTTCTTATACACTAATCTGAATTTGATAATTGCCGCTATATCTATATCAACATCATTTAAATATAAATTTTTACGAAGTAGATCATTTAAAAACAAAAAACATACAATGCATAATATTAATTTATCCTATAATGAAAAAAATTGACAATGTCTTATTATACATCTTACTGTATAAAATTTAATCATCGTTATGTTCATTTATTATTAAAAAAATGTGTATATGTGAAGAAAAACTTGTAAAAGAAATATTTTGATCTAAACTTTTATTCACATTGACTTCATTACATACAGCGGAACGTAAGCAATCTTTAGGATACGATTGGCATCCTGAGTGTTTAAGATGTGAAGAATGTGGAAAGCGTTTGAATCCTGGGCAACATGCTGAGGTAAAAGATTAAGATTTTGTTAAAAGTTAATGAACTATCTGATAAGAATAATCTACATTGATATTTGTGATATTTTAGCACAAAGGAGTACCATACTGCCATGTTCCATGTTATGGTGCTCTTTTCGGGCCTCAATTATTTGGTCATGGTACAAGAGTTGAATCGCATACAAGTTTTGGAAAGAAAGAAGTTCGTCCATCGTTACCGAGGTACTTATTTATTTATCAGATACTTTTTTATTTCTTCTTTTTTTGTTTTTTTTTTGTTTTACAGTTATTCTATAAGTGTAAAAAATTGTAATAAAATTAAATGTGTATATATATATATATATATAAAAAAAAATAAATGTGTTGATGTGTAGATCGCATTTCGAATCAAAGTTGAAATATTTTAATCAGTATTACGAAGGTAAAAGTAAAGGACTCAAAAGTCGCGAAGTAAGTTTGTCAAATTATTTGAAAGTACAATAAATTTTATGTTCGTTAGTATATATTTATTAATTTGTTTGAAAATAGGTCAATGGAAGATTGGTATTCGAAGGTGCCTTGAGAATATATTGGGGAGTCAGAGGCGTTATTCATCTTAAAGAAGACGATGATCAGCGTACTGTTGTTACTGTGCGTAACAGAAATTCTTGTAGACATAGTGTTACCGAGGTTTGTTAGTAATATCAGTTTGGTATGATATATAATTTTTATTATATTTCAAATCGTATTCTAATAATTAATGTAAGCAGGATTTGGAGAACGAAGATGAAACTGATGTCTCATTGAAGAGTACGTCGGAATACGATACAGAAAGTAATACAAAGTCGGTTTCACAGTCTCCTGATCACTTAAAAAGTTTGACTTTGCCTATGAATTTAAATGTTAAGACTATGGAATGGGATGAGCTGGACGAATTACTCCAGGTTTGAAAAAAATATTTAATTGCATTTATATATATTATATAAATTAGGCTTGTTTAATGTATTAATTATTTTAGGTCGAACGTAAGGTAGATGAGAGTAATAAATTGTATTCAACAATGCCTGAAAATCTTCCTTCCATAAGTTCTAATACTGAAACACCAGTTCATTCTTCCGAATCAAGTTTGGATAAAACAGATTCTCGTGATAATTCTGAAATGAATAGTCCTAACCATCATGTTAATAGGGGTAACGATAGTAGTATAAATAGTACACCGACGCATAGTATTGGTAGTTCTTCCAGCACCGATACTCCTATTTATCATGGAACACCAAGTCGGAACGGTACGCTTCGTAGGGTAGAATATTTTGATAATTTGGAGAAGAATGCTATTGGTAATAGGTCTATTAGTACTGACGATAGTTGGATAGAGAAAGGCTTAAATCGTTCAATGTCTGGACCAGATTGTCTTCAACGACATCGTACTGACAGTGATACAGATTCTGTTAACTCTTTACAATTTAGAGAAGACGATAACATGACAATGTCAACTGATAGTGGTTTAGAGGTACTAATTTTAAAAATTTTGTTTGTTCATTCTCTTACTAGTAAACATTTTATATAAATTTATTATTTCTCAGTTGGATGGCGTTGTTCTAAGACGTAAACAAGGATCCACTGCAATTAGACGTAGACCAGGTGGTAGACGTCAATCTCGTAGTCGATTAAGACGTCGTTGTTCTATAAATGGACATTTTTATAATCGCGAAACTAGTTTCTTTACACCACCGCATGGTTCTCAAATGTCGGTTTGGGTTACGAGTTTGGTAAACACTCAAGAAGTTATTAATCTTATGCTCGATAAATATAAAGTCGATGCTAAGTCAGATAACTTTGCATTGTTCGTAGTGCGCGATAATGGCGGTAAGTTTATATATATATATGTAATTCCTTTTATGTTTTCTTTATCTACTTGAATTATTAAATATACGTACAGAGCAAAGAAGGTTGAGAGATGACGAGTATCCATTGGAAGTAAGAGTATTATTAGGACCACACGAAAATGTAGCACGACTATTTTTGGTTGATAAACTTTCAACGCCTGAAATTAGTTCAGACGTTGCACAGTTCCTTAATCTTTCGTTAGCAGAATGTCATGGTATATTACAACGTTATCATTACGAGGAAGAAAGACAAATTGTACTTTTAAAAGAAAAGTTGGTAACTCCTAACGAATTTTGTATTAAATTTATATCGATAAATTATAATAAATTAAATAAAAATTTGTATTTATTTCAGATACAAAGAGATGCGAAAAAGAATAAAACAAAGAATGGAGGAATTGAAGGTCCGATTGTAGTTAGGTGATTAAAATCAACGGACACACACGATAAGCGGAACATTACTTTTCTATGCAAATTTTTATCTAGAGAAAACATTTTTTTCTTTTTTTTATATTATTTTTATCGTAGATGTTCGTTGCATTTATTTACAATTGGCATATATATACTGCCAATTAGTTAATCTGGTGCAATTAAACGACAGAGCCAAATCTCAATTAATGAATCAGTAATATGTACTGCATATGCTATTTCATATCAACTAGATTATCAACTAAGCTTTTATATGTCCATGTGTGTATGCGCAAGCGCGTGCGCGCGTCTACATGCACATTGTTATTATATAAGACACACACAAGTTTATAAACAATTAATATTTGTCTTTTTTGTAATCATTTATTAACGTTATTTACTATAGTGATAGAAATGCATTACATTATTACTGTAATTTTGTGGTCTCGTGGTTTATTTGAAAAATAAGCAGATAGTTAGATACATATAAATAGCACATAATAGCAGGTACATATATAAATATAAATATATATAAAAATATATATATATATATATGTAATTAAAATCTAGTGTGCGATATATTGATCAATTAATTAATCATGCTATGTGAATCTCAAAGATTTAATGAAGTTTATCGAAGTAAACACAAATTATGCGTGAAGAAAATAATGAGGATTGCTATTTACGGAAGAACATTCAATGGCTTTTAAAACATGTTTCCCATCTATGCAGACATCTAACTCATATCAATCTCTTGATATATTTGTGTTCGTGCTCCTTTTGTCGACACTTCTTACACTTATCTCCACATAAGCGTCTATATAAAACAAATAATTCTATCATAGGAATTTAGAAAAAGAATATAAATAAAGCTTTACTTTTTCCTGAAAGTAACAAAGTATATAGCATGAATGAAGTACGCTGTGTAGAATTTTGTGCACAAGTTATCAACGAGTTATCAAGAAAATAAAATAAATTGGTGCTTTGATATAAAAGAACTTTTATACATTTGATATATATAAAGCTCACAATGCTTATTAATTGTATAAATCATTCTTTTGTTTAATTTCATAGTATTTTATATAGCATTCCGAATTATTGAAAAGATAAAAAAATAATAAAAAATAAAAAATAAAAAATAAAAATAATACTATTAATAATAAGAATCTCTAATAAGCGTAACACATTTTTATAGAAAAACTATTAAAAATAAAAAAACGATTATATTAACTTAGAAGATAAGTGTTAATCCGAATAACATATTTAAAACTTAAATACTTCCAATTATAGTCCACTTTCTATGTAGTAGTAAGGAGCAATGTTGCCTAACATAATGTTCATTATAATCAAATAATTTGATATATACAAATTGATATACTTTGATTATGTACACGTATATTAAATTGATGAATCACTTTTTTTTTTAGATCTATTAATAAGAAATCGCAATATATTCATTTAAACGACTGTCCAGATCATTATACATTTTTGAGCTAGTCACAAATATATACATTCTATATATATTAGTTAAAGTCGACTATATATATCAAGATTAAAACTATTTTATAATGCAATATAGAGCCAAAAGTGTTTAGCTGGACTGTTACAATTAAAAGTATAATATCTTAAGAGAAATAAGATTGATGCGGATTATTTTTTCGCTATTGTTCCAATTATGTCATTAATGCACGATACGATCGTTAAACATATAATAATAAAAAAGAAAAAAAAGAATCTTTATAGAAACATAATGAATATTTTAGACACATGCGAAGCGTTTAAAAGTTGTAGGTAATATAAAAGCATGCTTATACATACACACGTACGTCTTTACAAGAGTAACTTATATTAAACGCATTAGTAGCAGCAATAGAAACAGCTACTGTTAATTAATTAAGAAGAAAAAGATTAATTAAGAATCATTATTACCTTGACTTTAATATAACGTTAGAGTAGAGTAATATTTTTACTCAAACTTTTTAAATAATTCACTAATCTGAAATAAAAGAGAAAATGGGAACATACGCTGCGTAATTCGAATATTACCGGGATTTTTGTTCTTTTTTGATATTTTTTTGCACAGTAAAAGAAAGTTCGTATAGTCAGTTTTTATTCAAAATACTCCGTACCATGACACGTACTATATTACATACTTTCGAATATATAAAATACTTGAGAATATGCGAATCTTCAAATATATACATATATAATAATAAATAAGTACTTCTACACGAAATCGTTAAATTCTATACTATCTAAACTACTTCTATAAATATAAGAAATATAAGTGATGTGTATTTTGAAAAATTTGTACGAAGCTATTCTGAGAATATATAAAATAAAACGTTTAGAAATATATAAAACGAAAAAGAAAAACAATATGATAAATCATACACGGGTAAAAATGATAAAGAATCATTGCACCTTACCTGAACGTATATTAATATTGCAATCAATGAAGTAGTTCTCGTTTTCTGGCTGTGGTTTTTAGAAAGACTATGAGATTAAATTGGATTGATTTTATTTTATTTTCTTTTTTTAATTTTTTTTTTTTTCTTATCATAAGAATTTTTTGCACATGGGATTGGATCAATGATTCGAAGGCGTATATAATAATAAAATAACAGAGAGATAGAGGATAATTCGCGTATGTATAT